ACCTACATCCATACGTACTAAGACACCTTATAGATACAGCCTGGCTGGCCGTGTTGTTGGCCTACTTTGTATTATAAAATATTAAGATCGAAAGTGTACTGAGATCTTGAACTTGGATTGCACAATGATAAATACCGTTGCTTCATTATCATATTACGTATTAAGTAGGTTAACATGTGTTATACATGAAATGACTTCATTTGTAATGTACTAGAGACCCGCCCCGGCTCCGTACGCTTGTAGTACATTTTACCTTAAAGCTTTATTACTTGTATAGCGACTTAGTTGCTTTTTTTTAATTAAAAAGAAATTCAGTTATATGATATTTATTAAACCTCCATTGTATGTAGAGGCCTATGTCCAGCAGTAAACTGTTCGGGGCTGTTGATGATGATGATGATGATATTTATAAATGTAATACCTTCATTGAAAATTATATAATTGATGTTAAGAACCGTATCAGAATTCGTTGCGGGTTTTAAGATTTTTCGGATTTACGAGTACAAACAATGCCACTTTGTTTTAATTTATGTAAAGAGCTGTTGTCGAGAGAAGAGAAAAAGAGAAGAAAGAAAGAATATCTAAGCGTCAAAAACATAGCGAGTAATGAAAGCGAGATATGAATAGAAAGACGTTAACTGTCAATATTATCTGTGAAAATTACAAATATCTTTGTTGGTCCCTTCAAAGCTAAGCTAAAGGTTTATATTCAGTAGGGGATTCACGTCGATAGTGTACTCAATTTAAACCCGCCGCCAGTCAGTCGCAAGTCCGTCGTTTTAGTCACTACACTACCACCGCTAGGTACTGATATCCAACAATAGACAATACATTTAATTAGCTAGCTTCTAAATAAATGCAAACAATGTGAGTTTTTGACATAGAATATTACTATACTACTAACTGGGTTGTTTTTGTCAAGAATTCCAAGTTAAGAATCGCGGGATCGCTTACTGTTCAGTGCAAACATTTTGGTGTAACATATGCATATAAAGCTTTCAGGATATTTTTCTTTTTTGTTTTAAAACTGTTTTAGAAATTTTATTTTAATCTTAATTTTGGCCCGCTTTAATATTCAGTATTACATACTGATCATATTTATTTCACAGCCCTATTTACTTATATACATTATTAAAACATACTTTAAATTTATTCAAGCATGCTATGAGCGGGAATGGATCCCTAGGCCCTTGACGTTGCAATCGTATTCTAGACTGCCGAAGATAAATATAGTAGTTAAATAATATATGACTTTGACAGCGGTAGTAGGCAGTTACCGTCAGATGACCCGTCTTATATTTTGCCCCTACGCCATAAAAAAGACTTATTTCTTAGCGTTCCATGGATTCACCGTGCGGGTGCTGAGTCCATCACGTGATAGATGGGGGCAACACATGCGCCTTCGACAGCGCCTGTGAATTGCGACCCAGGTATAGGTTCAGGTACTTACTACTACTAATTCTCAGTAATCCTAAATCCTGATAAAAGTTTGTTTAGAAAAGTCATTATTTATTTAAGTTAAAACTGATTTAGGCGCATTTTTGAACAACAAACAAAATAATGTATTTTTGAGATAAGGAAAAACCATTGAACTCGCGACATTGACAGGCCTGTTGGTTTAGTGGTTAGTGACCCTGACTGCTAAACCAGAGGTCGTGGGTTCGATTCCCACCCAGGACAAATATTGTGTGATGAGCACGGTCATTTGTTCTGTGTCTGGGTGTAATTTATCTATAATATGTATGTATTTAAAAATATATAAGTATGTTTATCAGCAGTCTGGTTACCAAGTACAGGTTCTGCCTAGTTTGGGATCAGACGGCCGTGTGTGAGATGTGTGAGATATATTATTATTATTTATTATTGTTACCATTACATATATATTGTGTAGATACGCACAACATAGATATATATTAATGTCGGAACTTTTGGAATCGAAAAACAAACAAACAAAAAAAACTGTTATAATGAAAAAAAAAAATTCAAGTTTTCACTTCTATCGGCACTCCCGGAGTGCCACTGGTTTGTATAACTACATTTTAATCCCGTACTACCACAAAAATATACCAAGAACAGGGTACCTGATATGTTTCATGATCATACACCTAGGTTTTGTAATTGAAAACAAGTTGGTAGGTTGGTGTCACCACACCAACCTACCAACCTGTTTCTACGTAATAGTGGCACCCTGCTCCAAATACAAGAGTTATTTCACTGAAAACGTCTTGCGTAAGGTCAAAAAAGTCGGTCACACCACTTGACGGATCAATCATGTTATTTCGGATTGTTGACAAAGGTACATTTGCAATTATTATACATGATGACGTAATAATTTAAGGTGGCCTCCGGAAAAAAAATGCCACTGAACACGTACATACTCGTACTTGTTTCACGAGCATGAAATTTTGCAATTCATAACCTAAGTAATACTTAATTTATGAAACGCAAAATTTCATTGCCGCGTATAAACACAAATTAAACTAATTTAATATGGGCGTGTAAATGCTATATCAGCCGTAATCAATAAAGTTTAGTAAAATGACAAAATATGACAAATTATCTTAATAAGCAGAAGATATATGCTAGTACAAAATTAGATCCAAATTATTATGCCATTTCCGATGCTTTATTGTGTGCTTGTAGTTTAACTTTTGGGTTTTGTTTGCTTTTCGCACTTTTTTTTTAAATTTGGCATTCCTGCACTTGTATGTTATTTTAAGGTATAAAGCAGACGTTATAATATGTATATGAATCAGACGACAAAGATTATCTTCTAAAAAGTTTAAATATAAAGAAAATATAAAAAAAGTGATATACTATAGAATTTATAATTGAGGAAATGTCTCTTTGTTTTTCTTTATTTATTATAAATGAATATATGTTACTCTTACTTATAAATAAATTTACATATTATATGGGAGGAAAATCTAGTATCTAGAACAAAAATAAAAAAGAAATTAAGAATAAAAATTAATTATTATTAGAATTTGTTTATCTTGCTGCTGTTTTGTGTTTTGGCTGGTTCCTTTTATGGGCATTTGATTATTTAGGCATTTGCAATTCTTTTTCAGATAGGGCAATGGTTGGTGTACTATCGATTAGATGATTTTGCACTCTCATTAAGAGGGAGGTTATGTACCTTCTTTTAAATACGAAACGGACATCCTGATTTCAAGCGGGAACGCATTCCAGAGTAGAAATGCTTGCATGAAAAACGAAGAGTTCTCGAAGTCGGAATTCTGGGAGTGACAATTATGTATGTACGTGAAGGCGTTGATTCTCGTAAACATAAATATATTTTTTTACGGAATGTCTCACTTGGTAATCATGGTCATCATGATTTTAAATTAAAACCACGATACAATAATTAGTCGTTCATAAAAAAGCTATTTTTCACTTCTCAAAGTAATGACTACTTATGCTTTTAAATACAGCCGATATTAATTCGATCTAAACTTAATCCTAAAAATTTTTAATAAAGGTTATTTTCTAACGTATCGTAAGAATAACAAATAATATAAATCAAAAGTTTCATTACTGTTCGTTCGTTTCTGAGGCGTGGAAAGTAAAACTACTACGGGAATTAAACATATCAAAAAAGGTGCTAGTTTAAACGTCAACAATAGCAATAAAAAAAAGATTAAGAGCAATAGCAGGCCTTTTGGAGTTTATCTTTTATTACTCTATACTATTGTATTCTTTGTTTGAACAATTGTCTTTTTATACATTAGCGATTTTATCGATGATATTTTTTTATATTTCGAAATCCTAAGCACAGTTAATAAAGACGTGTAAGTACGTACAAAGTATGCTCTAATTCTCATAGTGTAGTTTACACGTCCGACAATTAGCGAGCCATTTCGAAACAATGACCAGTTGAACGGTTCCTATTAGTACTGGCAATGACTACTTTCCTCGCATGGAGATATACTCATCTACAAATGAATACGTCTGGCCATCAATATGGGTTATACAACAGCTCGGAAGTTATACAACTGTTCGGAAAAACTAGAAAATTAGTTGTTACGCTAGACTTTCTTTTGTTTCATGACTCGCAATTTAAAACAATATATTCAAGTGCACGCAGACGGATCTAATGTGTAATGAGTAGTCATTATCAAGTAATGTACTAGTAGTTTTTAAACAATATTCGATTGTTAATGTTTTACAAAGTTACGTTTATTTGATTAAATTGACGGGGAATTAACGCTGTTGTTCGGGTATGCACATTATGCTGTCCCTTTGAACTCTTACACGTTTAGATCAGGATTTAATAGACATTTTTAAAGACAACCCTTTCGAAACGCAAACCACAGCGCATAATGCATTAATATTTTCGAAAATCATTGATGGCGAACGTGTTGATTCTTTTTATATCCTATCGTTAAAACACACCTACAGAAAATTGTAAAAATAATAAATATTTATTTATAATTATTGTAGCAGTATACTAGCGAGTACTACATAACTTGGATCACCCTTCTTGGAAATAAGAAGTTCTAATGGGATTGTTCCCACTACTTCCTCCAATGTTATTATAATTTTAAAAAGCTTAAACCATACGATAAAAATAAAAAAGCTAAAGTTTATATATTTATTTAATAATGAATACATGACGTGTTGAGGTATTATATGTCTGTTTGTTTACGTATAATTCTGTGAGTGAGCTTGCGTGCGTGTGCTTGCATGCTGATTCTTCGTATGTTAAACCTTTAACCACAGTATGATACTTGAGCAACTTGAGGTATATATTTAGATTTACATTTCATTTGTTCTAAATACATTTAATGTATCGGATAAAAGGAACAGGGTGAAAATGAAGTTTTTATGTAGTAAATTTAAAATATAATATTCTTGCTGCCAGATATACAGTATACACAGATCAGTAAGTTATAGGTAAGATAGGTATTGGGATGGTGATTTTTGCATATATTGAATTCTTATCATATTATCGTACTTAATGTCATTTCAAAATAAATCAAGTGATTTCAAATCGTTACCTATGCAGGTTCTAAAGCCTTCTGAGTAACCTAGTGGGATAAGAAGTTTGCAACAAACTTTAACTTTGCAGCAAAGTGATCTAGGACATAGTAGCAATGGTGTGATTTATAATAGTAGTATTTCAGAACACTAACTACTAGCGTCTGTTACAAAGTGTGTGTAAAAACACGCTTTACAGCCGCATACCGGCTCGTAAAACAGATCAGATTCATGACGAGAGAAGTAAATACAAATGTTACATATTCTTACCTTATCAACCTCGCTGATTCTCAAAATAACCTTTAGTCTCGGGTTGTATTTTTTGTAGTCCTTCAGCAAACCATCGAGTTTGTCTCCTCTCGCGTCGCCAGTATAAACGAGATGGGTGCACTCGGAAAAACCGTCGGTGGCGCGCGAGCTTTCCACGTAACAGACGAGGCGGGCGGCGCCTGCGCCAGCACCATGTGCCGGCGTTAGTAGCGCGGCCGCAGCGATTAACAACCAAAGCCACATGTTTTATTTAGAAAAAATCAAACTGTCATTCCGAACGCGTTGATTTTCGAAAATTCAAATTTTGGAATATTTAGTTTGGGAGCGCGTTGGTCGTTTGGTTAGCACAGTACGAGTGGCGGTGTGGCGGTGTTCGGTCGCACTCATAGGCGCCCCCGCCCTGGCGTGGTAGACCGCGCAAGGTCATGCGCTCACCGCCGCCTGCGGGACGGAGCTCGCACAGATATGCTGTTACATTTCATTCGTCACTGGTATGTCTCATGTATGTGACAATGAATGATGGAGGCTTTTAACTTAAGCAGCTGTTGGAACAATCACGTAATGGCTTTGTCGTATCGGCTGATTAACTGTTTTGACATTCTCCTCTAATAGTAAGCAAAAGAATGTTTAATAAACATCCCTCTCCGTATTCATATTTGAGTAACCTATAAAAATATGTATTGTGAAATAAGAGTACTCTCGAGAATTATTGTTACAAGTTTTCAAGTTTAGTATGCCATAATTAAAATATGAGTATATTTACGGTAATTATCGCAACAAATTTTTTACACACTGAATTTTTTGACGTTTCACTCAAATCACACAGCCATAGTCGCTGATAACCCCATCGAAACGTCAGACAGTTCAAAGGTATGGACTACACTACGTAGTGGTTTAAGCGGGAGCCACGCCGCTTTCTACTGCGCTGAGTGTTGTGGGTTCGATCCCCATATGGGACACAACTTTGTATGATCCCCAAACTGTTGTTCTAAGTCTGAGTGTTCTTTGTGTCCGTTTTATGTATGTTTATAAAGTCCTCAGACACAGAATATAGAATATGTATTCCTAATGCGGGAGTAGTGTTTAAAAAAAACGTATATTCACACCGAAACCATCATGTTAAGTCCTGTTTACATACACTTGTGTCGAGTAATCCCGGGTTGGAACCAAGCCTAAGCACTGTTAACCCTCTAACTATTAACATTATCATTTTTAGTAAAGTTACCGGAGCCCCAACCCCTCGTCATCAGTGGGCCTAGTGTAAGTTTATTTCACATCAACTAGCTCTCGACAGTGAGTGCGTTTGGCGTTGTGATTGGTGGAGATTTCAGTGCGAGCCAATCGCAGCGCAGTGACGATCGAGTAGGTGTGAAATAAACTCACACTTGGGCCTCAGATTCTGGGGGATTAATCAAAGGGCGGCAACGGTCTTGTGACTCTTGAGCTGTAGGCGTTTTGTGTCTTTTGAGTGAGACTCAATGAGAACCATAGTAATGTGCGAATCACGTAACAAACATTATTTTCTTAAGAAAACTAAAATGTTTACATATAGAAGATATTTAATTGTAATCTTATAATAAAATATTAAAATATGTATGACATTTACGTCTGTACGTGACTAAGCATCAATTGCTAAATACATACACACTACTGCAGCAAGTACTGCAACACGGCCATAAATCGTATGTTAAGAAGTCATTGATTAAATTTTAGCCGTTCAAAGCAGTTCTTTTACATTCATGGTTACAACTCCGTTTCTATACGTCGTAGAGTGATGTTAAATAGATGAAACTCATGCGCAATTATTGTTTTATAGCAGGGATTCCCGAAGTGATCGATATCGATCCATTGGAGTCGAAATTGGTTTCCCAGTGGTCGAAATACACGAAAACTGATTTTGGGGTCGACGAGGTCCAAAAATCGACCCCTATTTTTTGGCGGTCGACGAGGTCCAAAAATCGACCCCTATTTTTTGGCGGTCGACGAGGTCCAAAAATCGACCCCCATTAAAGATAAAACTTTAAAGATACTGTATTAGTTGTGTTACGTATACCAACTTGTTATAAGAATGACTACTATTTTAGCTAGAAGTATCATTGTTGTACTTTTAAAACTCAACAAGTGTTTGGCGTGCAGTAATTTGGCTAAGGGGCTCTGAGGTATCCATTCATTTAAGAAACGGGGGCTCTTGCCTGGGTCTTTTTTATTTCAAAGTCGAATAGTAGTTTCAGAGCACGTCAGTAAAGGAAACTTTGATGGCGTAGTAGTTTAAACGCCCCACCGCTATCTATTGCGCTGAGTCCTATCCCTCGCCTTCCTTTTTTGTCTCTTTTTTTTCAATATTTACACTCAATTGTCTTACTCAATCCCCATAGTAGGCCAGAACCTTCTATCTAAGGAGAGGCCTATTTCCAGCAGCGGACTAATAAAGGCTATGGTATGTAGTAATAGTATGTAAGGCTAAGGCTAAGTAAAAGTAATAGTCGGTAGGTGCAAGGTCTGGTGAGTATGGCGGATGATGAGCTCTTGCAGCTTGGAGACTGTCTGTTGCGCAGTATGGGGTCGCGCGTTGTCGTGAAGGAGCAGTGGGGACGACCGATTGACCAAAGCTGGTTGCAGATGTGACCACCAGACCTTGCATCTACCGACTATTACTTTTTCCTAAATTTAGACAACTTTTTAGTGGGTAAAAAATTCAATGCCCGAGAGGCAGTACAAAATGCCTTTGAAGAGTTTGTTGCCTCCCGTCCAGCTGATTTTTACAAGAAGGGCATCAATAAACTGTCAATGCGTTGGCAAAGATGCGTCGATTGCATGGGTGATTACTTCGAATAACAGAAATAAAAAAGTTTGAAAAAATAAGTACTTTCACTTATTGCATACAAAACGGCAATTTCATAGGTAAAGACCTATTATAATACACGACCTACCCCATCGAGAATTTAAACATTGGTGAATATATAGTTATCATGTAGTGCCGTACGACATGAAAAAAACAGTTTAGTAATTACTTAACTTGCGGTCTATTGTTGGCATGTACATCTAGTATCTCACAGTAAACCTTACTAATATGTATTGTTTTTGTTAATATCGTTATATATAACAATTGGCAATACTTTTGGTAAAGTGTGAGTTGTGTAGATGTAGCAAGAGGCCGTAGATTATAACTGGCATTAGTTAAAATTAATCGGGATTTGTCTTGGGACGTCCGGTTTCTTGAAAGTACGGTTTCAATGCAAATTTATTGCACCTATGTTTATATTATTTTCTCAAGTGACACACACGTAATAACATATACATAGTATAGAAACTCACGCATATGTCCCCGAGAGGCTGAGGCCCCAATCAGAGGTGCAATATGCGCATGAAAATTGAAAACATATTTAAGGGAAATATATTATTATTGTTTAGTATTTGCCTTCCTAATTTTGAAATATTGTCTCTCTTATGCCTGAAATAAGGCATCACGGAGTTATAGCCGAAAACAGTGATCATTAGTATGAAAATCGGCCTATTTAAGTACATTAAGTTATAAATAAATAATGTAATAATCCAACAATTTCTTGTGCTTGGTTCCGGTGTGCGACCTTGACATTACCCTGACGCAGTTCAATGTGGTAATGTTCCACAATACTTAACGTCGATAAAACACAATTGCAACCACCTTTAAGTGTTGTTTGACCTATTTAAACGTGTTTCCGTAATGGATATGATCGACCGCGTTAATAATCTAAACGACCAGTTCAAGGATCTTTCCCTTTTTTCTGGGTGAAAGGTCCAACCTGTTATCAAGCTTTCGCGCTACTTAATACATAATCTTACAATGTAGCCTTTGTCGTGTTCTAAACATCTTCTTATTCACATTTTTTTTCTTATTTTTAAAAGACAACTCCCACTTTAGCAATAAATATCCTGTGTCACGGGGGACGTTACAAACATACATGAAACAGACATAAAGAACACCCAGACTCAGAACAACAATTTGTGGATCATACAAAGTGGTGTCCCATGTGGGCTCCTTAATCTATAATTATGCATTCTGGTATATCCAAGGTAGTCTATGACGTGTTCTAAACGTCTGGCATCGGGCATGACAAATTCCAACTATTGGTTAGGATTTATACCGTGGGAGAGCCAGTGGTAGCGTATGCGACTGCTGTTCTGAGGTCTCGGTTTCCATTCCCGGGTCGGACCAAATATTTGTATGCTCTGCAAATATTTGGTGTTTAGCAACCTCATTCACTCGGCGGTGGTAACACTTCGATGAAGGCGGATCATTTTAATAATAATAAGTAGCAACACTTACTTCAGTCGGCATTTCTTCATATTTTCGAAATAAACAAGTTTTCTATACCTTTACAATACCGCACAATAATTAAAAGCAATAAAACTATAATGAAATGGATCCTTTTTATTAAAATATATTACACGTGTAAAACGTTTAAAATAAATAAAGCAAACATATACATAGATATGTATATGTAGATAGTAAGACATGACGTTTAACGTCATGTCAAAATACAAATAAATATTTATGATGAAAGAAATTCTGCTCTGACCAGCTTGGGATCACGAGGACTACTGACCCCGCTGCCGGTGGTGATGTGCGCCGCATGAAGTGGACAAAGTCTATCAATGAGAATTTTATGCGGGCATACTATCGGACTACAGAGGTGGGAACGAACTACCGAACGAACGAACTAATAACCTAATTTATTTACATTTTATGAAATTTAAATGCTCGTCACACACGCACTTACAAACCTTATTATTGATTAATTTATATGTGTGGTTTCTTTAGTACATATTAGCAACAATTATTTAAGAGTATATCTGCAATAGTAAACTAGTAGGTAAACCACCTATACGATCTCATAATATTACCGTTTTTGGCACAGAGCCACTATGAAATAACCCCGCAGATCTTCAAACAAACCGGCTGTACCTGCCTCACATAAATCGCAGATTAAAGAGATGACGACTGCATATTCACAGCATATAATTATAATTCAAAAATTATGAAATTCGCATGGAGTTATATTTTTTTTTAATAAATATAAACTGCTTATGTTCTGGCACATATAATTAATTCTCTAGGAAGTGTACTTGTTTGTGTCAGCTTCTTTTGTAACAAGAATAATTATGAGTATCAATCAGTTTATAAGTAAATCGAAAAAAGTCAAAGACGTCTTTGAATAAAGGTACATTTAAAGACGTAACTTACTCGACCGGAACTGTTAAAA